TGTTTTTAACATATTTTTGGTATATGGAAAAAATATAGTTATAATAAACTTAACATAAATACATTTGCCATATACCTAATATATGTTAAAAATATTTTTACTATATTTTTTCAAATTGATAAGTTTCAGTAAAGTACAGTCATCCAAATATGCGTTTATCTAAAATTATCACTTGAAATATCTAAAGTTGCTGGGCAAAATCCAGAGTTTAGACAAAAGTCTAAATTATAAAGGTAAAACTTGGTTAAATTATATTAAAACCTTATTAAAAAATCTGCAAAATTCAGAAAAAGGTTAAACTATATCAAAGCTTATAAAAATGGTAAAACAATATCAAACACTTAGTTAAAATTTAGCGAAACTTTAGGATTAGATATTTAGCCAATCCAAAATAAGTTTAGATAAGCAACTTTAGAAATATCCAAAATAAAGTGTTGTCAGCTTTGGAAATATAAAATGTGTCCATTTATTATTAATTATTAAATATAATTTTATAACTTATTAAAATACAATAATAATTTAGAATATTGCTTATTTACCTTCCAGGTAAAATAAATAAGAGCTATTCTATGCTTTTTTGTTTTTTTTGTTGCTTTTGTGAAATTAAATTTGTTATTAAGTCCTTAATTCTGAATATACTTTTATTAAGAATATATTTTCAGACAAAAAAATAAATAGTTGAAAAGCGTCTAAAAACTGCAGAAAATTGATATAAATATATTCTAAAGTTTGTCTATCTTTAATCAGTATACATTTATATCATTTATAAGCTAATTGAGAAATTCTAACACAAAAATACAAATATGAAAATATAACCTGGAAGACAATTTCAATCAATAGACTTATATTAGTGTAACAGTGTTTAATTAATAAGTGAAATAATGCATTTAGTGATTTGTTTTATTATTCAGCTCATGTAATAAAATTATGTATTAATTTAATCTTATGCGGATTATGATTTCATGTATGCTATAATCTTTTTATTATATCAATATTTGCAGAATAGTGTTTCTAATATTACATGCAGAAAGTATAAAAAATTGTAATAGTATAATCAATTATTTATTTTTTCTTTTTTTAAAAAAAAATGTAAAGATGATTAAGTCAGATCTTATAATGAGTGAATTACCATTATAGAAAGGACTTTGCCAAATATTGGCATATTTTAAATTCATAAAGAAATCTAGACTTAGCTTGAAAAAATAATTGTGTATGATATGACTAAAGATGAGAACTGTAATTAATATGTTGCAATTAGTTTTAACCTATATATGTTGCAACTTATAATGTTGCAACATATGTTGCAACTAATTTTAGCTTATGTTGTAACATTTTGTAAATTTGAAATTAATTGCTGTATTATCTTTAGATATGACTATAAAAAAGACCTTGAATATTTTATTTTTAGCTAAAAACTGGATGATCAAGATCTGGAATGAATAGTTTTATTTTTTTAGTATAATTTTCGAGGTATAATGATTATATTCGCTAATAATTTTATTTGAATTATTTTTTATATGAATTTCTTTTTAAATATCATATTTTTTAAATATTATTTTAAATTGTCTAATTATTTTGATGACATACTGGATTGCGAAAGAAAAATTTTAATAAGGTTAGTTTGTTTTATGAAGATAATATATATAAGTTAAAAATTTGCAAAAGCAAATATCAAATCATCATTTTTTATTTTCTATTTAAATAGTATGAGATGGTATGATATTCGTGAAATTTAATCCATAAATTAATTTATAATTCAATCCTGAATGATCACAAAAGATATAATCTCTTAAATTTACACTGTAGATTTTAAATTACTTAATATTCCAAATAGTTTTCTTGTAGAACTTAGTTAAAATAGATACTTTCTATATAACTTATTTGAATGTGAGTAATTTAGATTGGCAAAAATTTTGTAGATTTAATTTTTTCATGTTTGTAGGAAAGTGTATAGGAATCTTGCAATCAGCAATAGTGATAGAAAAAATAATTAGTATAGAGATATATAAGTCTGAGAAAGCAAAGAAATAATTTGATGCTAAGATTCGAATTAAATGACTTAAAATCTGTATACTCCTTCTCTTTGATAGCATCATACATTTTATAACATTTCTCTCTAAAAAAAAATATATTTTTAATATATATATTATAAAAAAAATTAAGTCATATCACACATTGGATAAATCCAATATTTAATGAATATTCACAATGATAAATTGATAATTATTTCTTACATATAATTGATATCAGTATAAAGAACCTTATACTTTTAACTTACAAAATACTTTCTTATAATAAAAGTTTAATCAAATTTAAAATGCATTCATATAGATTAATAAGTTAATCTTAAACCATATTTAAACCTATCTAGAAAACTGGTTTTTATTTTAAAGTCTTTTTTATTACTTTTTTCTCAACTCGTAAAAATAAAAACTGTTTTCTATCTTTAATAATATTGACAAGCTTCTTTTTATTAGTTGAAGAAAAAACTGAGTTATGCATTTTTTATAAGCAAAGATGCAAAAGTAAAAGAAGTTCTTTCAACAATAACAAAAGATGAGGAAAAAGTTGAATTTTTGAGAAAGTACAAAAGAGAATACAAATTAAGAGATAAGCCTTTATACTGTAGTAATTGGTTATGACGCGTTACAATTTTTTGTTCAGTAACTAACTTTATATTTTTTAGTCTTTTAATCCATTTTAGATAAATATTAAGGTGAGTTTTTGTATTATAATGATTGGTTATCTCGAACATGATGCTTAATTAACAGCTAATTTTCTTCAATAGAAAAAAAGTATTTAATGCTGAATTATTATACGAATAAGAAAAAATGAAAAGAATTCATCTTGAAATCATTTTAGATGTGATGACTCATAGCCTTTTCTTACTATGGTATATATATCCTGTCAAACCTTATAGTTTGAATTTGCAAGAAAGTCACTTTTTTTTACTACACCACTAATAGGTGATAAAGAAATGAACATCAAAGTTATTTTTGTGATAAGTTCTTGTTACAGTTAGAAAGGGATAATTACATTAAAGCTGTTGATACTGTTAAGCTTAAGCTGTTCGTCATTAAGTTAACAAAGATTATTTGCTAGCAGGGAGTTTAAGTATATCTAACTATGAAAGAAATAAACACGAATAATTAAATTGAAGGGTCAGGTCATCTTTATTGATATAGATTTAAAGAAGAATGAATTATATTAACGAGTAAAGATAAGTTTTAGAGATAAATATTATTTATTTATTAGAGAATTGATAACAACTCTGCCATTTATTGAGGCAGAAATATCACAATTCCAAACTTATGGCTATAATAAGACACTAGCATGAATAGTATAATATTGAAATTCATAATTAGTTATTTTTAGAATTTAGAGAAGCAAAAATAAGATATTTATATAAAATACATCAATATGAAATAGATATTTAAGAATGTAAAGAAATATAATAAATATAATAAAATAAAGAAATTAAATATATTAAAGAAATGTGTGAAATTAGAGATCGCTAAGAAATTAGTGAAATTAGAGAATCAAAGAAATGGTAGAAAGTTGAGAATTATAGATTACCATTCATCAATTATGTTTGACGCAGTATTATGCGTCATAATAAGACTATCACTAATAACACACATTCAAAAATATTTCTCGATGGAAAGGACCCAAACATATGCACTCATCTTGATGACTATTTATTAACATTACACATCACATGATAGAATTTATAGGCGAAATCAAACTTCATGGTTTATGTTTTATGCCAACCAATCAAGAACAAGTTATTATGTATGCAACAATCGCATTAAAACATCAGAAATATCGTCAAAGTATCACAGGATTCTTAACAGATTGTTATCAAATAATGTTTATTCAAGTTACTAAAGATGATAGTGAGAAAGGCCTACAAAGTAACCTACTCTGATCAATTTAACCTCAGCAATCAAACATATACAAATTATTTACGAGGTCTACTAAGTCCTACCACTGATGACAGGTATTTATTTAGTACTTCGTAAGGGTCGGGTTGGGTCGGATTTGAAGCAAACTCCCGTTAATATTTACAGGACACGAATTCGACTCGACCCGATTGTTGTTCGACCTGACCCGATTATTGTTTAACTCGTATTCAACTCGAATTTTAAGGTAATATTCATACCGAAAGTAAAAAAATTTTTTTATTTATGTATATAATGAAAAATGTGTATT